AAAATAATTTTGATCATATCCTTTAATATTCTGATATAAATAATTTAATATATCTTCAGGTAATGGAAATGATTTAATTGCAATATAAGAATTTAATGGTTCTGAAATTAAAAATGGTGTACATGGAATATTTAAAAAATTAATTGGTTTTGAATTAATAATTGAAAATGGTGTTTCAAAAGAATTTAAAGAAGAAGGAATCCATTTTAAGTTTTTAAGAGAATTATAAAAAGAAGAATAATTTTTAGTTTGAATAACAGAAGAAGAAGTAACTTGTAAAGTATGAAAAGTATGAATAACTTCTTTTTGATTTTGGTTTAAATACGTTAAGAAAGCAAGAAGATAATCAATGTTATTATTATTAACTTCATTTTGAAGTTTATTTAATAAAAGAGTATTTTGAAAATCAACAATTTTAATTTCTTCATTATTATTATTTTTATAACAATCAATAATAATTTCAATTGGAATTGGAAATTCAAATCTTTTGGTGTTATATTCAATTGAATTATTTATTTGAAATGGAAATATTTCAATATTCATTGTATTAATTGTTAATAATTCATTTGGAAAACATCGTTTTATTTCATTTAAAATAGGTAATTTTAAGAAACAAACATTGTTTAATGACAATGATATAAGTTCATTTAAAGTTAAATTAAATATATTAAGAATTGTTTTAACTAATAAATATAATCCAATAAATTCTATTGGTAATTCATTTAAAAGAGATGCAACAAATAATGCTCTACTAATTTTTGTTTTAATTGAAATACCATTTAGTTCAAAACTTTTCATTAAAATTGGAAAATATTTAGAAGCACCTTCTTTAGGACCATTTTCATCAAATAATTGAGAAATAAAAATGCCAGTAATAATATTAATATTATTAATATTTTCATTTGTAATAGTTTCTACATTAATAGAACTACAATTTGGTAATTTGATTAAATTATTTTTATTAATTTCAATAAATATATTTGAATTAAAATTATATGTTGAAATAATCATTTCTAAATCAATAGAATGTAATATTAAATTATCATATAAATTTTTTAAATAAGGTGCTTTATTAATTTCATTAATAATAATACTTAATGGCTCTTCTTTTATTGGAACTTCTCTTGTAAGATATTTAACTGGAATTATTTTTTTTTTATAATTTTGATTAAATGGAAATACTATGTTTTTTCCACAAAATGTAGTAAAATCTTCTTTATTAATTTGATTAAATGAATTAATTTGATATTTTTTGCAAATTCTATCTTCAATTTCTTCAATATTAATTAAAAATGAATTAAATGAATCAATAGATAATTCATTAAATAATTCTAATATAAATGTTACTATTTCTTTTGTTTCTATTTGTTTTATTTTTTCTGTTTCTTCAATTAAATCATCATCGTCATCAATAATAACAACTGAATGTCTTTGTTTATTTACATTATTTATTTTCATTGATTCTTCTAATATTTCTCTAATAGTTTTAATATTTATTTGAATAATTTTTTTAACAAATATCGTTTTTTCAATAATTGCAATATTATTTTTTAATTCATTAATATTAATGGCATATGGATCACATATTTTTTTTAGTATCGTTCTTTCTTTTTCATTTTTGATCTCTATTTTTTTTGTTTTATCATCTGAAATAACAAATGAACTGATACTAATATTCGTCCGTAATATAAATTGAACTGTTAGTTCATGTTCTGCAATATTATCTCTATTATCAATTAATATTCTCCAAAAATCTTCTGGTTTTGGTATAATTGAATGAAAGACGTGTGTCATTTTTCCAAATTGTTGACATATTTCACATCGTTGATTTTGTCTTTTTTCTGATAAAATTTTTTGTTCTGTTGGTAATTGTTTATAAATTTCTTCTCTTTGTCTGTCATGTTCTTCTCTATCATCTCTTATTTTTATTGGACTTCTTGGTTGTGGTGAAATTAAATTCTTTTTTAATGAACTATTTGTATTAGTATTATAATATGGTGTTTTTGTAAATAATTTTTGTATTGAAATTGATTGTGGAGTACTAAAACTACCACGTGATTCTGAGTGAATGTTTATTTCATTTGAAAGAGTTGAAGGTATAGAAGATGAAATTGTTTGATTTTTATTTGGAGGATATGTAGTAGAGTATGGTGTATAAGGGTTGTTAAGACTATTAACACTTGAAGGAGCAGGATAATATGGTAATTTTCTTGAATTCATATGTATGAAATGATTATTTAAAGATCTTAATGGTTATTTATTTCTTTTTTATTAATTAAAAGAGAAAAACAAAGAAAAAAGTTGAATTATAAATTTATGTAAATTAACTTTAATATCCTCTTTCTGTTACATGTCGTGCTAATTGAAGTGTTGCATTTAAATTTTCTTCTTCAGTAATAGGACTATCATAATAACCAATAACATATCCTGTTCCTGTTTCAACTAATGTACATCCACATTTATATTTTGGTGATTTTGCTGTTATCCAATTGATTGTTTCATCTTCACTAATTGATTTAACTTCAAATGAAACACCACTCAATGAAAATGGAAGTGCAGTAGTTGGATGGTAAAAAATTCTAGAACATGCCCTTGCTTCTTCAAAAGATATGTCTAATGTTTCTGATCTTCCCCAAACACCTCCATCATTTCCACAAACTGCACCACCATTTCCTTTATGAGGACCAACAACAAAACGATAAATAGGGTCTTCCCATATTACACTCATGAAAATAAAAATGAATCTTTTTCTTTTCATTTTTATTCTTCAAAATAAAAATAAAAAAAATGAAATATAAATCAAAATGTTGAAATTAATGTTTTTCATCAGAAGATGATGAAGAGGATGATGATTTTGATTTCTTTTCTTTCTTTTCTTCTTTCTTAGATGTAACAACTGGTGTTTCTTTAGGACTTTTCTTTTCAACAGTTTGTCCGAATCTTTGAGTGAAAGAATGACCAACAACTATAAGAGCAGCAAGGATATTGAAACCAATGAATGCAATTGTACATTCACCAAGTAAAGCAAAGAAGAAGAATAATGGGAAAAGAAGGATTGGAATAGTACTGTAAGGAATCTTAAAGTCTTTGAAATATTTATCTACATATTTACTAATATATTTATCCCAAGTAAATACAAGAGCAGCATAAACAACAAGAACTAAAATTCCAGCAAGAGGATGTGCTAAAAGTGATCCAAGGAAAACTAATGAACCATTAATAAATAAATAAAGTTCATTGTATTTTTTAATATTTTTATTATAAGTTGATTTAATTTCATCTGCATTACTTGGAACAACAAATGGTCCTTGAATTGCATCTCTAGCTTGTTCTAATACTTTAGTAAAGAATGGTTTAATTGGGCATTTTTCACCAAATGGGCAAGACATTAGTTAATTATATGTGACCATTTCAAGTTTATTAAGTCTTTAAATAAATTGACTCTTTTTTCTCCACGGAGTTCCACGTATTTTTTAAACTACTCTTTTGTTCTATCGAATATTTTAGAAATTTTTTTTATTCAATGTGGAGCTTTGTTTCATTAGTTTTTGTTTCTAAATGTTACTTTTATTATTTTATTATTATTAAATCATTTTCAATAGAACAATTTTTTAATATTACCTCAGTTAGTCTTTCTTTTATAATTCTTTTCTTTCTACTATTTTTGTTAAAATATTATCTATGTAGTTCTTTTCTTTCTAAATACCTGTTTTGTCCTTATTATTAACTTGTATTTCTTTTTATCCTTTCCTCATTTTAATTTTTTTTATTGTTAATTCTTAAAGTCATTTTTTATTTTTTAGTGCCTTTATTACGAAGGAAATAACATATATTCTTTTAAATCAAATTGTGTTTAATAAAACAAACTCATTAAAATTTTTAAATTCAAAAACTATTTTAAGATGGATGAAGTTATTTTCTTTTTATTTCTTCTTTTTTTGATGGTTTTCAATTAATTCTTCTTATTTAATATGTATTAATTTATTATATTATTCAGTTTAAAAATATAATAAACAATTAA